TCCACCGATAAATGTCTCCCGTTCTACAAACTTCTAAAAAATAATAAGAAATTTCTGTGGGACGAGAAATGTGAGGAAGCTTTCAAACAACTGAAAGCTTACCTCTCTGAGCCTCCGATCCTATCCAAACCAGTAACAGGAGAACCCCTGTACCTATACCTCGCCGTATCAACTGTTGCAGTTAGCGGCGTGCTGGTACGAGAAGAGAAAAACGAGCAAAGCCCGTCTATTACACAAGCAAAAGTCTAATAGACGCCGAAACTAGATACCCTACTATGGAAAAATTAGCTCTGACAGTCGTAACAGCTGCCAGAAAGCTACGACCTTATTTCCTATCGCACTCAATCGTCGTAATGACTTCACAACCAATACACAAGATTCTGCACAGCCCTAGCCAATCGGGACGATTAGCTAAGTGGGCCATAGAACTCAGCGAATATGACATCGAGTATAGACCCCGAGCAGCCATAAAAGCTCAGGTCCTCGCTGATTTTATCATCGAGCTATCGTCCGAACAACTAGACCTGAGAGCTGAAGCTCCGGAGTGGAGCCTGTATGTTGACGGAGCCTCATCAAAGCAAGGTTCCGGAATCGGTCTAAGGCTGACCTCTTCAGCCAGAGAGACCATCGAACAATCCTACAGGTTCGGATTCAATGCTTCAAATAATGAGGCTGAATATGAAGCACTAATCGCAGGGTTAAAACTTACCCTAAGCCTCGGAACCCGAGAGCTAAACGCTTATAGTGACTCACAGCTAGCCAGCCAATTCCACGGAGAATATGAAACAAGGGACGAAAGAATGGGGGCATACCTCGAAGTCGTCCAAAGCCTCACTAAGCAGTTCAACAAGTTTGAGCTGACAAGGATCCCACGAGGAGAGAACTCCTCGGCAGATGTGTCGGCTGCCTTAGCATCCACATCAGACCACCTCGTAAAGCGGATTATACATGTAGAGTCGAAAACCCAAGTATCGATATGGCTACCAAAACTGAAATCGATAGCAAACCGAAAGAGCAAACGGAAGCTAGCTGCTCTGAGACAGCAGCAACCCAAGTTCTCACAACATTCTGGTTCCCAACAACCAAATTCGCAATTTCAAAAAGCATACCTCCGGGGGCACGACCCAGACCCCAGACTCGCATGTTTATATAACAGCCACTCCATCTGACATTGGAGGTACCTCCGGGGGCACGACACAGACCTGAAGATATTCCACGGAATTCAGACTCCCTTGAGCCTAACCCAAGGAATATCTCCGGGGGCACGACCTCTGGCCACAATAACACTCAGGAACCTGAGCCCGAACAGGAACCTCCGTTATCTCTTCATGACAAAAACGTAGGAAGAGAAGACTGGAGAATACCAATTATGCAGTATATCTCAGAGGGTAAGGTCCCCCCCCCCCAAAAAAAAAAAAAATTGGGAAGCTCGAAAACTCAAAGCGTTAAGCACGAAATTCTGCATAATAGAATCCACCCTTTATAAACGAAGCGTGTCGGGACCTTACTTAAGATGCGTCCATGGCCTCGATGCTATCAAACACATGATGGAAATGCACGAGGGCACCTGTGGAAACAACGCCGATGGCAGAGCCTTAGCATTCTGAATCAAAAGACAGGGCTATTTCTGGCCTACCATTGTCGCTGATTGTGAGGTCTACTCATCTTCATGCGAAAAATGCCAGAGGCATGCACCAATTAGACATCAGCCTACGGAAAAACTATCCTCGATATCCGCCCCATACCCGTTCATGAGATGGTCCATGGATATCATAGGACCGCTAGTAAAATCAGAAAGAGGATAGCAAATGCTACGCTTCCTTGTAGTCCTAACAAACTACTTCACCAAATGGATAGAAGCTGAAACTCTCCAGCTGGTAACTAAAGTCGAAACTGAACGACTTGTATGGAGAGACAACAAATTGAAGGTCTTAAAATCCTTCGAAAACAAATTCAGGTTCCCAAAGAACCTCCATCTAAGGTCTTAAAACCCTTATCAAAACTCAAGGTCTTAAAATCCTTCGAAAACAAATCCTGGTTCCCAAAGGACCTCAATCAAAGGTCTTAAAACATTAACCAAACTCAAGGTCTTAAAATCCATCCAAAAAAAAATCAGGTTCCCAAAAACCTCAACCTAAGGTCGCAAAACTCTTAGCTGCGTTTGAGATCTAAAAGATATCCCAAGTAAATTCAGGTCCCAGAAACCCATTCTCGGGACCTCTCGCTAAAAGGCTACGAGACCTGTTATCAACAGGCTCCCCGACCTTCACCCGAAAGTTTCCTAGACCTCATGTCTAACGACTACGGGACCTGTTACTAACAGGACCCAGAATCCTTCGTTCAAGGAAGTAAAAACTTCTACTTAGACGATCGAGTCCGTATTAAGGAATTCATCAAAACATCGACAAAGATCGAAGATCCTAACAAAGCAAGGGTTTAAAAGCCTCCTCAGGCCACAAGTCTTAACAAAGATAAAAAGAAAGCCCATTGGGCAGAAGTCTTGGGAACACGAAGACATAATCGCTATCTCAACAAAGAGATAGAGATCAGGCGGTTGAGCTTTAGCTTCCGCGAAAAGAGGTCTCATCTCGAAAGCTGGGGGCAACTGTTGGGCCCAAATATGGCCCGCTAGCTGAGACTAATGGGCTCGAGCGATAAGAGTTGACTGTGGGCCACTGTAAGCCCATTGGAAATTAATCTTTTGAGAAAAGAGTTAAAAAGAAGCCGGAGGCTGTTTGCTAAGGAAGGGACGTCAACAAAACAGGTCACGGAGGAGAGCTCCGGACCTCATTTAGAAAGAGCTAACAGGAGTAGCTCAGGATGGTTGCGCAGGACCCGGTCAAAAGGAGGCTGTTGAGAATCCCCCAACTCACGGAGCAAATCTCGGAGGCTGGTTAGGGTCGTTCAAACGTGGCTGAGAGCTATTTAAGGGAGGAGGAGATCAGAGAAAAGGATCCTCTGGCTCGACTCATCTTTAGACCTAAAGACTTAAACACTTTTCCTTCATTGTAATAATCTCAATTCATCTTTGTATTTCTGATCATCAAGTTCATCTTTGTAATTTCATTTTCTTATCAAAATCAATATAAAGAAACGTATTCATTCATACAAGTTCTAACGGGATTCAACCCACGATTGTCTTTTCCCCAATCTAAACCTAACCTAAACTAGAGAGTGAGTTTTACCCCTCACAGGGTTCACGAACTAATATCACCATCTTCAAGCCGAAAGGTCATGGAATACGTTCACTCCAGCAAGTTCTCATCCTGCCAAGTTCCAGCAACCGAAGAAGAACAATTCATCTCCCTCAACATCCCGCCGGATCTACCCAGAATGTGTCAGCAACAAGGCTATACTCACCTCCACTTTGGAGTTGTGAGACTTGGTCTGACCCTACACGCCAGAAAAGGTATACCAGTCAGTGCTCGTATAGGTTTAATCGACTCACGATTAAAGTCATACCAACAAGCGTGCATCGGAACTGTTCAAACAACATTAAATGCTGGAACAGTATTTGTCACACTGTTTCCAGATTTTAATGTTTCACTACAAGACCCAAATCTCTTGAACACACTCAAGGTTCAGCTTCAACTAGTTGGAGCACCGATGCAAGAGAAGAGTGTAATAGCAACGCTGCATCACCAAATTGTCTACCGAATTCAAGATCACGCTTTTGACCTCGATCTACCCTCCTCTGATGAAGCACTCTATCTAGAAGTCACATCAGCGTCACAAGTGCCTAACTCAATACAAATTCTTCGACAAATAACGCGTGAGGAGTTACTACGCCTGCTACCGGAATCATGGGTAACAAGTTATGAAAAGTTTCATCAAGCTACACAATCTAATATTCAATCATCGGACGTCACTTTCCGATCACGGAATGATGGAACAACATAAATCAAATTCGAGAAGCCAAGATCATCATATCATTTCGAAAGCAATTGTTCACTCAGTTTGTAATACACATAGAAAATATAAACGGTGAAATCAATAGAAGACCACAAAATCTTAAACCATTATACTTTAAACTAGATGGCAATGAAGTCGACCCCTTCAAAGACGAAACTGGCCATATATTCTTCGACATATGCAACTGTCCTGCCTGCGAATAAGCATATTACGAATCTGATGAAGATGACCGAACAAAGCGAAGAATGAAGAAGGACCCCCTCTACAAAAGATATCTTGAAGGAGACCCTACAGTCAGACCACTCGGCGATGATAAATACGAATTAATCGTTCAATATTCTGAAAAAAAAAAAAGAGAAGAGTTTTGAATTGGTTATTTTCACTTTTAACTAATGTTAATTAAAAAATATATGTGTTTAATGTGCATCTGCATGTCTAAGACATCTCTAAGGGTTTACAGTATTTTTTACTCTAAAACAGAGTCACTCTATAATAGAGTGAAAAATAAAGTGATGAACAAAAAAAAAACAAGTTACTCTATATTTTGAGTAAACATATTTTTCACTCTATTGTAAAGTGAGATATAGAGTATCAATAAAACACTTTTACTATAAAACTCTATTTTAAAATGAAAAATAGAGTGGAGTTGGAGATGCACTAACCAATTTCTCGGGTGTGAAATGAGAATATCATTTTACTGACAAAATGGATATAGATCACTCTTTTTTTTCAGTTGAGAAGTGAGAACCAGAGACTCTCATAGACCTCTCTCCGAACCAAAGCAAACCAAATTCTCAAAGCTGTTAAACTACTCTTGAAAGCTTATGAAAATCTTTGATGGCAGCTTCAACCATCAGAAGAGACTGTACATGGATGCCGTGGAGACTGATAAACAGGTCTTACTTGCTCTAAGTAAGCGTGGGATTGAGAGGTAATAGTGTCCCAAGGCCATTGCTCAACTTATTGGATAAGTGTTTATCCAATTCTCTGTACTCTGCTTCACAATACTAGAACCATATGGAAGATTGGTCTGGTAGTTAGTACTGAAAACATTCAAGACTAAGGATTGGAAGCAAAATAAGACCCGAGTGCATTTGTCTATTTTGTTTTTGTCAAGCAATTTCAACAGAAAAATACTCTAACAAACAAACAAACAAAAACATATCTTCTTACTTGGCCTAACGAATTGGGATAACATGAATGCATTGTAACACTAAAATTCAGTCTAAAACCATGTCTTTGAAACCATTAGCCCCCGAGAAAAAAAAACAAGAAGAAAAGCTACAGGATTTGATGTATTGTATAGCTGACTTCTTAACTGAACCCGTAAGATTCAGACATTATTACATGATCGGACCAAAACCCCAATTTCTCAGAAACTATCTCTTTAATCCCCTGTCTCATTGACCACCACCAATGGTGGAGGAGCCATTGATTTTGCCCAACACAGGAGCCATATCCAACCGAGTCTTGCAATGGAACTGGAGCTCGTACTGAGCCCCCAGGATACGGTAACGCTTCAACCAAAACAGCTTCTTGCTCAGCTCATGACTCTGAGCTTTGATGACAAGAAACCGTTTCTTGAACCTCATCTCGAACTGCTCTCTCGACTTCTTATCCACGTGAGGCGAACGCAGCACCGTGTACAAGGTCCTCGTGTCTGGCATAGCGGCGTAGCGACTGTGAGGAGGAAGACACCAAGCTTCCTTCTCAGGGTTATCGAATGACCGTATTGCAATGCAGATCCTAGTTCCTTTGATCTTTGATGTGCTTTCTTCTCCTTCTTTCTTCTAATTTCAATAACCATACACAACGGTATATGTGAATCTATGAACGAGTTTTAGAGATTTGAATTGAAAGGAAAAGCATACCTTCTTGTTCAATGGTTTGACATGCTCTGGAGAGGTTTTGATCTTAGCGACGTTAGTGTCACGCTCAGTGGCGTAACGTTGAAACGCGATCCTCGTGGGGGAAACCATAGACGGTTCAGATCTAATGTGGAAGTCTCTCGCTATGATGCCAAACGAGATCGGAGACGAAGCGGGAGAGGGATTAGATCCATTTCCGACTTGATTCAGCTTCACGGAGGCTCCCGTGGCGGCTGAAGTGAAATGGTGGGAGAGACCCGAATCGAAAGAGGTCAGTGCGGCGGAGAGAGTCTGCCTCGACGGCAAGGAGGATCTGCGGAATGCTCCGGTGATCATTTCGGATTCGACGGCGGTGAAGACGAGAAATGTGACAGAGAGAGAGAAGAAAGGAAAATTAAAACAAAACCCCTAGTTCCCCCTGCTAGGGTTTCAGTCAGGATCGCCTGCGACGAGTGTACGCTTTTCACATGCACGCGCGATATTGTAATAAAGGCTGTTTGCCTGTTTCTAATATTTTATTTTTACCTTTGACAAGTTGTTAATCATGGCAATTTTTCTCAGTGAAGTTAGAAGATATGCTTAAAAAGGGGCCAAGACGCAAAGTGTATAAAATTACATATAATTCTATGACCAGGGTAGTAAAATACATATAGGAGAGGAAAATAAAGGCTCAAAAAGACTAAGAAACATGCACAGTCAATGCCCTGGAGTTTCTTGGAATCTCTGGTGGGCGTTGTCTCACAAGGTAAATTACATGTATTGGTGGGGTTTGAGAGATTCTTCTTTCTTCCATCATCCTTGCTCCTCTCACTTTCACTTGTGTATGCTTCTGCTACTCGGTTTCTTGGTCCAAGATTCTATCAAACGGAACATCCAACGATCTAGCATTCCTATTAGAAAAGACCCATGACCATTACACTATATATTATTAGTCAAAAGACCTTTTTTGGAAAGATGACTATACTAAGACCAGACCGAGATGAGACGAACCTGTCAAAGCAAAGGTACCCCCTAATACAGCGCAAAGCCGTGTGATCAAGTGGAGAAAACTACGGCGTTCTTCCTTGATGGTTACAGTGATAGGTGACAGATCATATAAGAAGTAGACGGCTGAAATTGAAAAAAAAGTAGATGTCATCAAGGAACAGAAACAGAGTAACAAGAACCCGGTGCATAGTGGAAATGAAGTTTGTTCGACCAACCTGGCCATGTCCGCTCGAATTCGTTCATAGGTGTGTAATATTCAGTTACAGAGTACTGATTCGTTGACAGTATGTCTTTCGAAAGATATCTATATTCTGTTGGAACAATCTGCACGCCATACCAGAAAGAAATCAACCACACGTATCTCACCAAATGGATCATAAAGCTACTAGCCAGACTGGTAAGTGACTTGGAAGTAACACATGAGACCTGAGTAAAGACGAAGTAAGAGAAGCACCTTAATATAGTATTTGAATGTTCCACTGGTGTCATGCAGATATCGGTTTGTGTCATCAAGTGGGTTATGAATTCCAGGGTACTTCGGCCCAAACGATAGATCATGAATCATATGGCTCACGTTTACGTTTTTGGATCCTCCAAATATCTGTTCAGAGGGTAAAACAGATCAGATAGATACTATATCATCACATTGGTTAATCAAAATAGGCAATACGAGCATGGAATATCAAATAGTGAGTCTGTGAATGAGGTGCAAATGCATGTGGTGAGAGTAATTTAGCGATTATCAATAAAAGTCTAGCTACTTTTCACATTGACATGTCAATGGAATCGAACACCAATTATAATTGGTCACATGGTACTTAATCAAAACTAATTAACGTATCTTGAGTTGTATGTTCTTGATTAGTGGTTTCAGACACTTTTGAACTTAAATGGTTTTATAAAGCGAGATAATGATACCAACCATTTGAGCAACGTAGATGTTCAGCCCGTGAACTGAAATGTGGAAGTTTCCAGCAACCCGTTGTACATCTAGGACACCATAAACCTGTGGAAAAACAGCCAAACACATTAGTCTCTGGTTTTTTAAAACGCCAACAAGGCAACATCTCTAGTTTGTCTATTGCAGAGGTTAATACCCGGCATCCTTCTCCATCTGCCAATGCTTGCTTCACCTTTTTAATCATCGTCTCAGCAGCTTGATCAAAGCCGAGTAGATTCAAAGCTTCCGTCTCATTCTTGTCTTCGTCTTTGCCATCTTCAGCAACACACAAAAGAAACCAAATTGAAGTGTTTACATGATTAAGTCTCTACCCTTATACCAAAGAAAGATGTCAGCTATCAATGGTACTCTCATACAATACGTCTCAATACACATGCCAATAATGTATTTTAGAAAACACACATGCTAGTTTTACATATCCAAGTTAATTACATGCACATGCTGTTCCTCCAAAAGATTCAAGACATAGACATTCAAACGATAACTAAGGGAATGAAGCTAAAAACTAGAAGAAGGCTCGTTGAGATTAAGAATGTTACCGTGCTTGTGAGATGAGTGATCATGCTCCTTTTCAACAAGATCAGATATATATTCTGTGCCAATGATATGACCATGACTGTTGAGACGGAGCTGCATATACTCGTAGTTAGTGAGCAATTAAGTCTATTATAAACTAGAGAAAATGCCATGAAAAAGTGAGGGTTAAAGATGCTAAGGGAAATATCCATTGCTTTCTTCAAATGGTGGGTTTAACCTAAACATGTTTCAGGTGTGCAATCTAAACAAAGAAGTTTCAGTAATTCACTAAGGCGGAAAAGACTGTGATTTGCATTAGCATCTTCCAAATGTTTACCTTCCAAATGTTTGTATCAAGATCCACTTCATGCTTCCCTGACATGTCGATAGCATCCATGCTCAATACTACAAAACCAATAAAGATCAAATGACAAAGTTTACAACCACTAACATTCCTGAAAGTGTGGAGATATGAACTGTGTGATCAATGGATTCCACTTACCATCACAAGGCAAAGATGGGAACGTCATATTGACATGAATTGGAAGAGTTTCTCCACGCTTTAAGTCCACTGACATCTACAGAAACATGATCCAGATCCCATTTTGATTACAACGGTTATATATATATAAGGAGAAAAACCCTACAAGTGAATCAAACGGATGGAAAACGACTTGGGTATCAATGAAGCTGAGAATCAACAGAGACACTTCAAATAGATCATAAAGTTTTGATTATTTCAAAGCATCCATCTATAGAGTTTCATTAACAGAAGATCATTAAGAGAAGTAATCATAGGACTATCCATAGCAGTTTGAAGGCTAGAGACAGAGCCAGAAAAATAAACAGAAAAGCAACCAGGTTTAGATAGAACCAAAATACATACCTGATGCACCGTAAGGGTGTTAAGATAGTAACTGAGCTCGCTCAAGAACAACGTAACCATTATAAGGAGCCCAACAATGGATACTACAAATTACCAAAGAAGTTAAAAAAAATAAGCACAAACACACAGAGTCAAGGCAAGCATTAAAGGAGAATATTGGATGGAAAAAGAAAGAAAGCATTACCAACGGCACCAGATTGTGTTTTCTGAAGCAGATGATCCTCTGCTCTTGGGAACGCATCGATGCTCTTTAGAGCCTGCTTCACACCCATCCTAGCAGCACAAATGCTCCTCGAGTTCCAAACTACAAACAAAGTAGCACTAAATATATCAATTCAACCATTAAAAAACTTGTCTTTTTTCAAACCCAATTCTCACTTCTAAAGCGGTTTCATCTTAAGTGGGTCTGTCTAGCTCAAAAGCAACACTTTGGATCAACCAAGCAGAAGATTATAGAGGATGGCTTTTCGAGAATTAAGCTCGCAAAACCCACAACTAAAATCGACCCTAGATGTGAAAGAAACGTAACAATGGCACGAATCTGAGATATTCGATCATCTGAATCGGAGAAGGTACCTCTTGAATCGAGGCTGATGAGGATGAAGCGCGTTTGATGTTTGAAGGGATTGGGGGGAAGAAGAGAGAAGAGAGATCTCCAGGTCCGGAGAGACAATATCGATGTTTGAACGGCGTCGCTCTTTTTCCGTCTCTCTCTATATTTATTAACTGCTCCTTCAACTTACTACGAATTTCAGTTTAAGCATTAATAAGCTTATTGTTTTAAACAGAACCTCATATTCTCATAAGTTATCATTTTGGGACAGGGAAAATGTTTTGGATCATAATGTGCATATAAGATGCATATTTTAGTAACACAAAAAATCATACATTAATTTTTAAAAATTGATTTCAAGTTTGAGTTATTATGTGTTATGGTTGAATTACAAATTTGAGTTACTCTCTTTATAAAATTGCTAACTCAAAAGTTAACTCAACATCAAAGAAATCTCATGTTTTAAGGTTGGATTAGCATTTAATGATTTTTTTTTAAACAAAAAAAGAAAGAAAGGAGAACAAAAATAAATTTCATAACGTTATTAGCTAGTTATGATGATCTTGGAAATGATAGCATCTCTTATATATTAATAGACTACGTAATAATCCGCGCCTTGCGCTAAATGAAACTATTAATTTCATTTTTAAGATAAGATAATATTACGTCTGTTTAATCATGATATCGGTTCAGTTTTAGTTTTTTTTTTGGTTTTTAATCAATTAAAATATAATTACTATTCTTAATCAATATTTGTTCTGTTTATTCGATTAAAATGCTTGAGATATCTTAGATTTTTAATGATAACAAAAAAGTATTATTATTTATTTAGTTTCATGTTATACGAATTTTTGTCAGTTCTTATGTCAAACCAATGGTTTCATATTATAATTTCAAAAGGTATGAAAAATCAAATCAAATCTAGATAATAACTGAAGAAAAAAAAAATTATTAAGACAAATCGTTTCATTACAATTTGATCGATGATGAATGGAAACATTAAAAAAGAATATTTCAGCTACCAAGAGAATTAGAATCCTCACTTGTAGTGAATATTTAGTTATATAGGTGCTCATGTCGATGTGCACATATATTTGGACTGGGCAAAATATTCGTAAATTTTTATTTGATTCGTCATCCTCTTCGATCCGAACAAAAAATTGAATATCCGTAACTGTACGAAGAAAAACAAATACTAATATGTTATATCCGTAAAAACGAAGTAAATCACAAATACTAATATTTTAAAAGAGGATATTCGATCTGATCGTTATATCCTTATATATACATATAATTAGTGAAGTATATATATATGTTATGTAAATAATACATTCTGTATAAATTTTACAATATATTTATCTACTAAACTTATTAAATTATGTATTAGTATTCCAAAAAGTAAACAAATTATTTTTAAAGTAAATTTTCTTATTTTGGATTTTTCTTTATTTTTAATTCTTTTCTTTATTTTTATGGATTGAAACTAGTTAAAATATATTTTTTCCCAGTACACCGTATATCTGGATAGCTACGAATCAAATCAGATAATTTTTTATTGAGACAAAACATATTGGATCACAAAATACCTCCAAAACCTCAGATATCTGATTCGTGCCCACTTTTACATGTATATGTATGTAAAAATATATATAGGTGGTTGATAAATATATAAATATATCACAAAAATATTTTTTGCTTAAAATAACACATAAAATATTATATTCTATTAAAATAAATTAAGTAAAAATAAAATAAGCCTAGAAGTGAAATTTTTATAAATTATCTTTATGTGTACAGCTTTTTAATAACCCGTAAAACCTTGTATGTAAGTTTTATATTGAAAAAAAAATCTAAAATGATATATAGTGTAAATGCATTTATGTAGAGTTTGGCTGAGAAACTTTTTACATGTGACACGTCAGCATACTCGTTTTCAAATCGCTGTGAAGCTACCACGTGTCAAACGTAAAGTGAACATATTAAATGACAATGTTTCTCTGATATATAGGGTATAAATATTTAAAAATTTGTAACATGTAGTTTGTATTAATTAAAAAAATGTCCTGCGGAGTTGTCACGTAATTAGAATGCTGATTTTGCTTACGTTGCAGCTTGAAAATCAATTGAGAATTTTTTTAGTATAAAATTAAACTGCTAGGGAATGTTATATAATATAGTAAGTCTATTATGGATCATTCATTTATCAAACTGAAATTTATTATATATTTTTTTATTAAATAAAACATATGAAATTACTTGATGTGATTAAGATATCTATATGACAATTAATGATTTTAAATAATAAATAATTGCTAACAAATGTATTCTTTTACCCTTTTTAATTCTTTATTATTAAAATAAATTACACAATTACATTAATCATATAATACAAATTTAGTTTTTTTTGTACATGTTGTATTTTGAATTTTTCAAAACAAGTGTAAATTACTAAAACTGTTCAAAGTCTCACATAAATTTGTGATCAAGGTTTAAATTTTTTTCTATAGTAAGATAAAATGATTATAAAATCATATGAATAAATAATTTTACTTTAATATATGTGTTTATGTTGATATATATATATATATATTTCATATCGTTTAAATTAAACTATACATCATATGAAAATACATACTCATATTTTTTGATATTTGCATTGTGCATATATTGAAAATTTAATAATTTAATTTTGAAATTTTCATTGTTTTTAAATGAATATAAATTATCGAAACCACTAAACATTCACATTATAAGCAATTAGTTGGTGTAAATTTTGGTACATAAATATGCAAATAATTATAAAATCATATGAGTAGAGACCTCACTAAAAATATCAAAATATAGTATATATCTATGTTAATATCATTTAATTATATATAATATATGATAAATAAGATTGATTGTTGTGATTTATTTATCTTAAAATGAGTGCGAATAAAAAAGAGCAGTCGTTTATTTCTATGTACACACCAATTTGTTATATAATAATAACTGATTTTTTAGTTATTTAATTTATAATTATTATTTTGTCATTTCATATTATGCAAAAACATAAAATAAGTATATAAATATAAAATATTTATTCTGTACAAGACGTAGATCTTAACCTAAGTATATGTATTTTTAATAACTTTTTATTTTAAACATTTTCTAAATCTAAGACCAGAAAAATGAAATGAGAATAAACTCAAAAATTAATATTTATATTGAGCAATAACCAAACTGAAAAAATGACACAAACAGAGGAAAAACCATTAGATTCTTCGACCTAACGTTAGGCTCTTATGCGATAAGTGGTTTTTTTACCTAAAATATTTTTAAATTGGGATCAGCTCATCAATAAATAAATTATGTAATTAACAAAAAAAAATTTTTAAGGGCCAAAATATTAATTCGATCAAGAATATAAATTTTATTTTTCCGTACTATATTTTTCAATAATTTTCATATAAATTCACCATTCACAAGATGCAAGTCTTATCCTAGTAATTTTATTAATTATCAGGTTATTTATGGCACGTTACTACTTACTATCAATCATTATAAATACATAATTAATAGATATAATAAAATTACTATTTGATATGTCGTTAATATTAAAATGATAGTAATCAGTTATTCTTTTTATTAGTTCTATATAAAATTTATTCTGTTTAACTTTATGAGTTATTCTTAAGATATCATAAAAAGATAGAAGATTATTTGATTTACCCTAAAACCAATTTTGTTAAAAAACTTGAAAACATAGTTGTATGATTTATTTTTGCATATATATATATAGACTAAGTTAAGATCCTCGTCTTACGCATAATGACCATCATATACACAAATTATTTTACGTATTATTATTAATTTTGCGTTTTTACATATTATGAAAATAGAAAATAATATGGTTTTTTCCCAACCGAAAGAAATATAGTGACCGAACATCGTACGCTTCCTCTCCAAAATCCCCTCATCTTTGTCAAGCTTTGTCATTTCCGGTGACTGGTTTCGGTGGCTTTCTCACCACCGGAGCTGGATTCTCCTTTTATTTAAGTTTTTGTTTGTGTTTACAGTGGTACGAAGGATCAAGTTCAAGGATGAATCAGTGCATGCAAGTTTTCTCTTTATATCTAGATGTGCTCTGTGTTTTTACATATCAAGGTTTCCCTTTTGACTAGGTTTTGTTTCCTCTGTTCTGAATCTCTTTGCGTGTACTCTGATTCGTAGTCAGCTTTGATTGAGCGGTTGTTATTGTGACTCTTCTCTAAGTTTGCATGTCTCCGATCTCCATGGTGCTCGCCTTTGAATTCTCTTCGGTTTCGTTCCTTCACTAGTCTGTTTCATGAGATTAGTTTTGGCTGGTTTGAATCGATTCGCTACTTGTCATTTCCCAAAGACTTGTTCGAGTTCTCCCCTCATGATCTAGCTTGTTTATTGGCATTCTTAGAGTCGCTTCTCAGCTTCTCCGCCGTTGCCGGTATGACAGTTTTAAAGCTATGGTCTCCGTGCTTATTTCTCTGCGCTATTCACTATAAGAGGTTTCAGTTACCTAAGCTAAAGATGCAAAAATAGGCTGAGTTAAAGACGAAAAAGGTAACTCCACCGCGTAAAAAAATAAGAGTCAAGGTTAAAAACACTTCAGCGGACACTGACTGTGATATCATGATCGAAGATAACGAATTTGCGCTGGAGTCTGATATAAAGGGTCTGAATTTGATTAGATCAGGCGTAGTAATGGAATATCGGGAGAAAACTGTTCACTTAAGTCCAAAAGGGTTTACACTGACGGTAGTTTCTTCACCAGCAGTTTTTCCGTACATTGGAGACAATGGAACTACGTGCATGAGGAAAAATGTTGAGCCTTCATCAGCAATATATGACCCTCTAGCACATGTTGATCCGATGCTATTGAAAATACTTATGCATCACATTAAGAAAATTCCACCCAAACCGCCAGCACCAGCAGGAAACACAGTGCAAGATGAGCTGATTACGAGAGTGACTTCTACAGCATACTCATCCATGAAAGGCCGTGGCCGGAGGGGGAATATGAATGGGTGTGATAATGTAAGTCTTTATTACGGCTGAGTTATATAGTCTATTACAGC